CACACACACACAAAACACACACATACAAGCACACTCACACACGCACACTCACACATGCATACATAAACATATACATACACGCACCACACACACACACAACACACACTCACACACACTTGGGGAGCCGGGGTCTATGGTGTGATGTCCAGATTCCTCGATGTTGCACGCCGAAGACACAAGTTCGATTTCCCTCGTGAGAAAATCATTTCATCGAGTATCTCAATTTTTCAGTTTTCTTTTGTGATGCTGTATCTCACTGCCACTGGAACGATTAGTATGGATACTTTGCTGTCTTTGAGTGGTGAGCTGTAAGTCTACTTTTGCCTTGTTGAGGTTCCACGGAGAGAGGTTGAGGAAAAGAAATTGTTGGATGTCTTGTTTGGAAAAGAGTATGTTTATTAGGTCCTCAAGTACTCTGAAGCTGAAATGCTTTATGAGTTTTTCGTTGTTTTTTAATTTGTTTTCGATGTCTGGGTTTGTTCTGAAAATACATTCGTGTGCTGGGTTCTCTGTTGTTGAGTTCTGTTTAATTTCGTATAGTAGTGAGAGTTGTGTGTGTCTGAGTCTGAGTCTGAGTGATAGTATGTATGCCTTTGCCTGGAAGCTCTTCCGTGTTCCTACCCTGCTCTAGGGTATATGCCACGGACCTTCCACCTTTCTCTGCCCTGGCTAGCCCCTTGATGTTATTCCGTGTCTGTCCACGTTTCTGTACATCAATTTCTGTGATTCTTCTCCAAGTATCGGCGGTCTTACCCTGTGGACTCTGATCTAACACTTTCTTTGTTATGCAGCTGCCTGACTTCCTGAGAGTATGTCCAATCCATTGCCACCTCCTTCTTCCTACATCATCTCTGACTGGGATCTGTCTTGTTTTCCTGAACACTTCCCCGTTGGTGACTCAGTCTGTCCATCTGATCCTCTTGTTCAAGAAAACCTGGAGCCTCTTTATGCAAGTGTCTCATTATCTTCCTAGTGCTGCTCGGTCTATACTGCCAACGGCCTTCTCATAGTCAAGGAAGTTGACGATCAGCTGGGAGTTTCACTCCAGGGACTGTTCCACAATAATCCTCAGAGTGGCAGTCTGGTCGGTGGTTGAGCGATTTTTCCGGAAACCAGCATGGTCGTCCCGTAGTCTTGGATCCGTTGCAGTTTTGATTATCTCCAGAATGATTCTGTTGAACACCTTACCTGGCATTGAGTGATCCCTATAGTGTGGCTGCAGTTGCTGAGATCCCCCTTTTTGGAAGCTTCACGAGTTGTCCTTCTTTTCAATACTTTGGGAACATGCTCTCATTCCAGAGCCTGGCAAAACGTGGGAGGGGGAGGTCTGCCGTCACATTGGCATCTGCTTTTAGGGCTTCAGGTGAAATCTGATCAGGACCGGCCGCTTTACCTTTGTTCAGCTTCTTAATGGACGTCCAGAATCTCTTGTTTTGAAGGAGCATCCCAGCAGATTGGTAACTCATTTCTTGCTGGCATGATGTTTGGCGGGTTATTCGGTGGTGGTCTATTCAGGAGACTGTTAAAATGCTCTACCCATCGTCTAGACTGAGCTTCCTTTCCAAAAATGGTTTTTCCCCCTTTGTCCTTTACTGGTACTTCAGGTTTCTCATATTTTCCAGCAAGTGTCCTTGTGGTCTGGTAAAGGATTCGCATGTGCCCTCCAACCGTTGCTTCCTCTGCCTTCTCTGTCAGCCTGTTCTTGAATTCCTTCTTGTCTTTTTTATTGATTTTTTGACATCCTTAGCTGTTGTCCTGTACTGTTCTAGTGCAACCGCTCTTGATCCTCTTGTTCTACTTGCATTCGTTTCTGCCTTGAGTTATCTTCGTTTTTTAAATTAAATCCAAAGAGTGTTGGCTAACCCATTCCTTGTGTTTCAATTTCTTCACACCGAGTTGGTTTTATAGTGGGTCTATCATTTTTAGGAACTGGGGTTTTGTTGATCCATTATAAACTAGACAGCCGTAGTCAAGCCTGGATTGGACAAGGCGAATTTATAGGTAGGGAAGGTGTTCTCATTACTCTAACAAATAGCGCCGTATTCTTTCTCTCTCTCTCTCTTTCTCTCTCTCTCTCTCTCTCTCTCTTTCTCTCTCTCTCTATCTATCTCTCTCTTTCTCTCTCTCTCTCTCTATCTATCTCTCTCTTTCTCTCTCTCTTGCTCGCTCTATCTATCTATCTATCTATCTATCTATCTATCTATCTATCTATCTATCTATCT